GGGATTGCGTACCAATGAGGGAGTTTTTCTTTTGCGTTTGAAGGAGAGGAGGAAATGGGGGTGGGGGTGGGGTGGGGGGGAGAAGGGTGCAACAGTGAATGAATGGAATTTCAAAATCTCTGTAGATGTTCATTGAAATGAAAAATAAAGAAATTAAAAAAAAGATTGCCTTTTCACAACATTGCGTCTTTTCTATCTTGTCTCTTCCTATCCTGCCACTCTACCAAATTGGCTCTGCAGGAGAAAGATGAACAATCTTCTCCCAAGTGATTTAGTGTCTTAAAACCCCAACAGAGGGTCAGTTGTGAGTTCGTTCTAACTTGATGACAGGAGAAGAAAGAGAGAGAGAGAACTCCCTAATATTTTCTTTCATTTTTTCTAAAAATTTCCATTTATATCTATAATCTATTTTGAATTAAGTTTTGTATACATATGAGATTTAGGTCAAAGTTCTTTTTTCATTTTCTATGAAAAGACATGTCCAACTTCTTTATAATAATCTAGTTTCTGGAATTTTTTGCTCAGCATACAGATTGAACAGCTGTGGAGAAAGGACACAACAGGAGAATAGCCCAGGAGAGGCTCGGATGAGCCAGGGTGGCTCACAGCTGTTCTTCATAGCTGAGTTGTAGTTGATTTGATTGCACCTAACAACAACAACGACAACAACAACAACAACATGGATGTCCAATTTCTCCAGTGCCATTGCTGTAAAGTTTGTCTTTCTTCCATCAAATTGCTTTGCATTTTTGTGAAAAATTAGGTGAGTGTATTTACAGGGACACATTTCTGAGTTGTCTGTTCTGTTCCGTTGATCTGTGTGTCTGTCTCTCTGGCAACACCACACTGTCTTGTTTAACGTATCCATATAGTAAATCTTGAAATCAGGAAGAGCTATTCCTTCCATTTAATTTTTTATTTCAGTAGATATTTTTCTTTTTTAAACTTTTATGTTGGTTTGCTTACAAAGTTCGTATACATTGTGTTTCACACTATTCTTCATTTACACATTTAATTCTTTTTATAAAAAAGTTATTTTAAAAATATTTTTATTTTATTTTATTTTACTTTGAACATTATTTAATTAGGTATTCTGCAAGAAATCTCGAACACCAATTTGTGAGATAAACTCCATCGGTGAGGAAGAATAAAGAATGCAGTTAGCTTTTGAGCTGAGGAATGGCTCTGATTTTGGGTAAAATCTCTGAGTCCACGGCTTTCTGATCCACCTTGAGCTGCTCTGTAATCTCTTATTTCTCTTCTGTGTTGAAGATCTCACCCTCCTGGTGGAGGCACTTCTACAGCTACTTCTTGAAGTAAGTGTCAGTGAGACACTTTCGGATTTTCACTTTATGGATGTAAACTTTAGGGGTGATGCGAATGGCAAGTTCCTGGTGTGTTCTCCGCAGAGGAACTTGCTTGAGGGTCAGAGACTTGGTCACAAGGAGCAAGTTACTATCCAGCTGCTCCTGGAAAACCACTCTCCTGGCCCTGTGGTGCCCTGTGAGGGTGTTCAGATGGTCTGTGTGTGATGCTAACCCATGGCCTCCTCGCGTGGAGGGCTGGAGGGCTTTCTGTCCCTGCTCAGCAGCTCCCGAGGCACTTCTTCAGTAGGGTAATACCTGGGCATTGTGCAAAGTTTCACCACTCGGGAACCACCATTCTTAACCACCACCCACTGGTTTTGTGACCTTCTCTTTCTTTTCAGCCCTGGACTTCCTCTTGTGTATGGCCTTCCTGCAATCCTTGGCAGACCGGGAATACCTGCTGATTCCTCGGACTAGGACAGGATTGCAGCTGCAGTGCGATGTCCTCTTGGACGTTTTGCCTGTGCCCTTGGGCTTGGCCGCTATCATCTGCGTTCTTGGCCTCAGGTTTCTTCTTGGTGTCTGGCTTTTCACCCGCCATCTTGCAAGATGGGAAAAGGCTATTTTATGTTTTTTAAAAGTTTCAGTTATTCTACTGCCTTTGACTTTTCTTAGGTATTTTAGAATAATTGTGCAAGAACTCTTACTGGGAACTTAATAGGTATTATGTTAAACTTCTAGTAAATTTTGGGAAGAATTAGCATTTTACTATGTTAATTCTTCTGTTTAATAAACACTATATGCCTCTGTATTCATTTAGATATTTTTCTTTCATTTGTGTTTTATAGTTTTCAGCATACACATTCTGTATAAATTGTGTTAAATTTATGCCCAAGTATTTTTGAATACTTTTAAATGGCATAGCATTTTTAATTTCAGTGTCCTCATAAAAATGCAATTGTTTTTGTATGTTTATCTTGTATCTTGCAACCTTGCTGAACTCATGAGTTTTAGGAGACACTTTGGAAATTACCTGAGATTTTCTGCACAATCATGTTGTCAGCAACTTGTTAATTGCCATTAATTAAGTCAGCTTTAACTTGTGATGACCTCTGTACAACAGAAAGAAATGTTGTCATGATACTTGTTACACTTGAGTCCAATATTGTGGTCACTGTATTTTGAGTGACTTCTAACCTAAGAGACTCTTCCTTCAGTAACACACTGAAAAATAGTCTATTGTAATCCATAAGGTTTTTATTGACTAATTTTTAGAAGTAGACAGTCAGGCCTTAATCCTAGTCTTTTTCATTCTTCTCTAGTGAAAACACGAGGGTTACCCTGCTGGCATTAGAAATACCAGTGGCAAAAAAAAAAAAAAAGAAAAAGAAATACCAGCTCCCAGCATCTCAGCAACATACAGAACCACAGGATGACAAATTGATAGATAAGGTGTGGCATCTGCCAACAAGGGCTGCTTTATTTTTCTTTTCTGCCTTGTCTTGTATTTTTCTTGCATAACTGCACTGGCTAACACTTCAGCATTATGTTGAATGAATGTAGTGATAGTAGTTATCCTTCCATTGTTTCTTATTAGGGAGAATGATTCAGTCTTTCACCATTAAGTATAATTTAAACAATAGGTTTTTCATATATACTTTTTATTATGTTGAGTTAGTTCTCTCCTGTTCCTAATTTCCTTAGAGGATTTCCTTTCTTTTCCTGTCATAAATAGGTGCTAAATTTTGTCAAATATCTTTTTACATTTTTTAAAAGATGTTTGCATAGTTTTCCTCTTTTATTCCATTGATATGGTGGCTAAATTAATTGATTTAAAATTGTTTGTTTTCTATGTTTTTTTTTCCTTTTTTCTTTTGTCTTCCTTTCCTTGTCATTGTCTTTTTTCCCTCCTCGTCTTTGGAATGAATATTTTTGTTTGTTTATTTCCCTCTACTATTGGCTTATTTGACATCTCTTTCTTCTGCAAGTAATTGTGGTAAGACTTGGGTTTATAATATAGATTTTTTCGTGTTGCTGTTGTTGATAGCTGTGGTGGAGATGACTCTGGACTCAGTGAACCCTCAAGCACAGCAGAATGAAATGCTGCCAGATGTTGCAGCATCTTCATGATCTGTTGTGGATCAGACTGTTGTGATTTATTCTCATTGCCCAGTTTTTTAAAAGTAGATCATCAGGTCTTCTCAGTACATCCTAATCTGAAAGCTGTGCTACAACCTATTCAGCCACATAAACCAAAGACAAAAGCCACTGTCATTGAGTCATTTCCAACTCCTAGTGACTCTCAGTAGAGTGTCTGAGACTGTAAATCTTTACTGGAGGAAAATGCCCATCTCCCATGGAGGAACTAATGGATTCGAACTGCTAAACTTACAGCGAGCAACCTGGTACCTTATTCACTATGCTATAAGGGTTCCATTCAGCCTCATAGTAACATGCAAACCCCCATTAACTGCACATGAGGTGCCTAGTTTAGAACTCTAACTCTATCTCCTTCTAGGAAGGTAAGAAGTACCTTACTTTAGTGATTACTAATTACTTAATTTAGTGGTAACTAAATCCTCCTACACCCATAAAACGATCTAAGAGAATAATTTCTTTCTCACTCTTGTCCACTCTATTAATTTTAGGATTCATATTACTGTTATGTGATTAAAAATCTTAAATTATTAATTTTACTTTAAACAATCAATGCAGAATTTATGACAAATTTCATATACTTTATTCCAGTATTTATTATTTCCAGGGATTTTCATTCCTTTCTATTGATCTAAGTTTCCCTTGGTGATAATTTTTCTTCCTTCTGAAAATCTTTAGCATGTGTGGTGGTACAGATCATCTGGTGAAAACTTCTCTCAGTTTTTTTGCCTTTGCTAAAACAAGAACCACCACCAGAACAAAAAGCAAACAAACTAAAAAAATCTGCCTTGTAACAAATGGAAATATATTTATTGATGTATAATTGATACATTGTAAAATTTGATGTATTTTGGCATACATATTTGGCCTGTGTAACTAGTGTCACAAATAAGATAGTGAACAGCAAGGCTTTTCTGTTCATCTGTTGTTGTTATGTGCCATTGAGTCACTTGCAACTCATAGTGACCCTATGTACAACAGCCCTAAACCCTGCTCTGTCCTTTGCCAATATTATTGTCTTTGACACATCTATCCTCCATTATTCCAGTGATGGAATCAGTCCATCTCCCAGACGATCTTTCTCTCTTGCACTGTCCCTCCACTCTCAAACATGACATCCCTCTCCAGGGACTGATTCCATCTTGCAGCATGTCCAAAGTATGTCAGACAAAGCTTCAGAATCCTTGACTCCAAGGAGCAGCCTGGCTTCACCCTCTCCAGGACAACCTTGTTTGTTCTCCTAGCAGTCCATGGTATATTCAATACTCTTCTCCAGTACCAAAGATCAAAGGCATAAATTCTCCTTCTATCATCCGTAATTATTGTCCAGCTCTCTGATGCATAGCAAGTAATTGCATAGACCATGGCCTGTATCAGGCACACCTTAGTGTCCAGACTGACATTGTTGCTCCTCAATACTTTGGAGAGATCTCTGACAGCAGACTTTCCTAATACAATTCGTCTTTTAGTTTCCTGACTGCTGGAACCAAGAATATTGATTGTAGAACCAAGTAAATTGAAGGTACCAACAATCTCAATTTCTTGATCCTTCATTATGATGCTCCCAATTGGCCCAGTGATAAGAATCTTTGTTTTCTTGATGTTGAGCTTCAATCCGTATTGAAAGCTGCAGCCCTTGACCTTCTGCAGCAAGCACTTCAAATTCTCCTCAGTTTCAGCAAGCAGGATTGTGTCATCCGTATAACACAGATTGTTGATGAGTCTACCTCCAATCCTGACACCATACTTCTCCTCATAGAGCCGAGCCTCCTGGATAATCTGTTGTGCTTATAGATTGAAAAGACATGGAGTTAAGACACATTCTTGATGAACACCCTTTTCAATTTTGAACCATACAGTGTTTCTTCGCTCTGTTGTGATTACTGCCTCCTGGTTCAAGTATATGTTCATCTGGGGAATCTATTTTTCCAAGTTCTATTCACATTTTCTCACAAGCAACCAATGCTTTGTTTTCTATCACTATAGTTTAATTTGAATTGTCTAGAGTTTTGTATAAAGGATATATTAACATGTATTTTTTGTAGTATGACTTCTTTACTCTGCACATTTCTATTCGTTTGTGTATCAGTTGCTAATTCTATTTTAATATTGAGTAATAGTTTACAATCTTCCATTATCCATAAGATTTAAAAAATTATTTTATATTTGTTTGCATATTAAATCCATATACATTGTGTTTCACCCTTTTCTTAATTCACATTTTGTTTCATACAATCATTCCCATATCCTGTTATCCATAGGAGTTTTGAATACTTGTTATTTAAGAAATGGATAACTAATCTTGCTTCTTAGTCTAAGTCTGAACCTCTGTTGAAACTTGTCCCCTGTGTGTAATCTTGCTGGTGTCTGAAATAATGGTGGCATAGCTTTCAGCATCACCCCACCATGCAAGTCATTACAGTATGACAAACTGACAGATGAGTGGTAGCCAAGTCTATACCAAGAAATTTGGAAGACAGTAACTGGCTAATCAACTAGAAAATATTCAGATTTGTTTTCATTAAAAAAAAAAGATGATCTGACAGAGTGTGAAACTTATCAAGCAATATCATTAATATCACGTACAAGTGCAATCTTGCTGAAGATTATTCAAAGTGGTTAGAATAGAACATCAACAGAGAACAGCCAGGAGTTCCAGCTGGATTCAGAAGAGGCAGTGGGACAAGAGATAGTATTGCTGATGTCAGATGGATCCTGACTGCAAGTAAAGAATACCAGAAGAATGTCTGTTTATAGTCATGAAAGAGGAAGCTGAAGTTGCATTGAAGGCATTGGCAAAAAAAGAAGGCCTCATAAGTCAATGGGTTATCAATTTATTTGTTTCAATTAACAGATGCAGCCCTGGCTGTGCTCACCCATGACTTCCAGGAAATTTGGAGGACAGCTGGTTGGCCAATGAATTGGAAGAGGTCCATATTTGTTCCCATTCCCAAGAAAGATAATCCAACAGAATGTGGAAACTATTGAACAATATCATTAATATCGTATACAAGCAAAATTCTGCTGGAGATCATTAAAAAATAGCTAGGAAAGTACATAGATAGGGA